TGAAATCAAAAGTTGTGTGTTTAGTGAAAAAGTTGACTGATAAATTTCAGCGCACGAAATAAAAAATTATGTGTTCAGGGGTGTTTTTAATTTTGCCCCTTTTCCCAATCATTTTAGTCGTTTTCATATACATAGTTTTTATTTATATTTATAAATAAAATTTATTTTCAATATAATTTTTATAAATCAGTAGAATCAGTCAATCCAAGCACTTCAGACATAACTTCATAAATTTTAGCAGAATCAGACAATAAAGCCGATTTGGGTATTACCAAACAGTCTCTAAAACTTTGACTAACTATATATTTTAATTGAAAATTACTTAATCCGTATAATGAACATGTTTTTTTATTAAAGATACTTTCATAATAGTTCAAAATATTTAACTTGTGTGACTTTAAAATAACAATTTCCCAATTCAAATTACAAATATTTGTGTGACTTTAAAATTACAGAATTCATTTAATTCAGACTCTTTTAAAAACACTTTATAAAACAAGTAAAATAAATAAATTATTTTCGCATTAGAACAAATATAAATTATCTACCATAACTAGCAAATAATGTTAAATCTGAAATAAACACTACTACCTCCGTCCCATTTATATTGGGACAGAAGAGGGTGACACAATTATTAAGAAAAATGGGTTTGTGTGGTTAATATTAATTGATAAAGTAAGAATAAAGTAAGAATGATTTAGAGCTACACAAACTTTGCCAAATATGGTATGGGACAATTTAAGTGAGACTTCCCGAAAAGGTAAAACGGGACAATATAAATGGGACGGAGGGAGTATGTATTTTGTTTTAATTAATTGAGCAAGAGTGATGATTTGAGGACCAAAACCTTCCGGATTATTTTATTCAATGTAGCAACATCAAATTAAACAAACGAACATACGGATTATTTGTTTTATTTTGGGAAAACTATCAAATAAACCCCCGTACTATGTCGAAAAAGTCGATTAGGCCCTCGTACTTTACAAACACTCGATTAAGTCCTCGAACTATTAAAAACGTTCAATTAAGCCCTTTTTGTTGGTAAGTAACTGGTTTCCCGGTTTAACGGCGACGATGGCAACGATGTGCTCGAACCCCAGCAATGGCAGCTGCCGGGAAACGGGTTACATTTAACCGGGAAACCGGTTACTTACCGACCGAAAGGGCTTAATTGAACGTTTTTTAATAGTTCGAGGACTTAATTGAGTGTTTGTAAAGTATGAGGGCCTAATCGACTTTTTCAGTATAGTACGGGGGCTTATTTGATAGTTTTCCCTTTGTTTTATATACGGCCTGAATTAGTCAACTGAGATAATTTAACAGATGTATGTTTCGTTAACTTCTTTCGGTTAGTTAAGGGGGTGTTTGCCCTCTTTTGAGGGTTTTTAGATATTTTTGACTAAAAAAAATAAGTTTATGGGCATAGATGTTCCTTGGTGGCAACTTCAGGGGTGTTTTTGCCCCTTTTCCCCTCCTTTCGTGGTTTCGGTATATCTCATACTATTCTGTAGTTTCTTAAGTTTTTTGTGTACATGCACTTCTATTTTATTAGATTTCATGGTATTTTTCAAATTAGCAAAAATATCCAATGCTAAGTCAATTTATTTTTGTCCGATCTTACCTTATTGGACTACTGTTACGCCGATAAAGGCTGAGTGATATAATAAAAGGATCTCAGACCTTACATCACCCTTCATGATTTGGGTATATCTCACACTATTCCTGTGTTTGATCAAGTTTCTGTGCACATGCAGTTGTATTTGATTTTTCAATTTGGAAAATCTTTTTAATTGCAAAGTGAATTTATTTTTCTTCGATCTTGCCTTATTCAGCCACTGTGACGACGACGAAGGCAATATGATTTTATTTAAGGAATAAATTGAAAATGAGACAACCGCAGTGTAAAGACGCCTTATTTTCATACTAAAAAAGAAGTTCAAATAATAGAATGTATCCATATATTTTCTTTAGTTACACAGATCTGTAAAATAATAGAATATTTTATTTTCCTTTATATAATTCTATGAAAAGAATTACATCTGGGATCGAAATAGTATAAATATGTTGGATGTATATGTTATTGAAATACTACTTTCTCAAAGCAATGAGATAAGCAGATGCTTAATGTTATACATCTCTTACAATATGTATGTTTTTTAAGTAAAACATTTGGATGTATGTTATTTTCGTAAAACGTATTACAAATTGATGCATTTAACGTATTTATGAGAAGCTTATTTTGGACACAATCACCTTTTATTTCAAACTCTTACCTTTTATTTAATCAGATCATAACTTCATATTAATCAGATCATAACTTGAGGGTTATCTATTTTCATTACTACTAAAATCTGATTCAGACGCACCCAAATCTTTTAAATTTTGCATACATATATGACATGTATGAATAATAAACTACCTGTCTTGGTCATGTCTTGAACAATTCTTTTTACTGTTGATTGTGGTGCTTGTGGTGATCCTCTTCATTGAATAATATTTTTTTAAGAAAAGGGAACGTTATTAATATAGAAAAAATGTACAAAGGATGAAAGAAAAAAACAGGAAAGAAGAGAAAAAAAGAGCAATAAAAATAAACTGAACAGTAATACCCAACCCAAAGTATAGCAAAAAGCCTTCCCAATATAAAATTTAACCCTCAGATAAATCTTCATAGTTTTGCCCGTGTTTGAGATCTAGTTCTCATAAGATGCGATCGTTGATTCCTCTTCTTGTACATTCTTTTTTGGGTGTTTAAGTTCTGAGTGGGTAGACAATTTTCTGGCGTGACCAAAAGAGTGTTCTCACAAATAACCTCATTTGTATCCGAGTCCCAAAGATCCTCCATCGTCGAAATAGGAACTCTTTTTTCGTTCTTTGGGACATGACCAAGAAATTCATCCCCCGATACTATGGAGCCCAGACTGCCGTAAACTCCCTCAAAGTCAAAAGTTTCAGAAAGGTTTCCTGTAGAGATCAATCTGGGTTGAGCATGTCTACTTCTACCACCTAAAATCCCTTTTTGCTCTGAAGCATTCTCTATTTTAGAAGATGTTCCATCATTATTGGGTCCCAAAGTCAAATTACCCAAAGTTGAAGTAAAAAGTCTCTCAAATTCATAAAGAAGATAGTGGGAAAGTGAGTCCACCCCATTTGTCAAAGTGATATGAAGAAATCCTTGAGATTAACAAATTCATCAGAAGTTTGCTCAGAGCTATGAATCTTCTATAGAAACCAAATCCAAAGAATGACTTCAAAATGCTCAATATCCGCTTGAAGTAATGCACCCGAAATGAAAAGCTTAGGGCCTGTTTACTAACAGAACTATTTTCTAGTTTTCCAGAAAACTGGAAAACTGGAAAACAGAAAACAGAAAAAAGAAAACGTGTTTACCAAAGAAAATTGCTGGAAAACTGGAGAAAGGAAAACAGAAAAACACGTTTATCAAATCGTTTTCCAAAACAAAAAAATGAGACATATCTCTCTTTTCCTTAATTATTTGGAGAAATGACTTTTACTAGTTTTCCAAATTTGGAAAACGCAGATGCTACAATGTCGCTGCAATGAATTTGCATACTTACACCTAGTAGTGAGTCCGGTCCTGCTCCGATGTCGATTTCATTCCGGTATCTCCATCCTCGTACATTACCACTTACCCCTACCCTACCCACCCAACCCCCACACCCTGCGTACCCCTTTTTCCTACAATGACCCTACCCCACCCCCTACAACATGCCCCTACCTCGGCCCCACCCCGATCCACCCTACCCTACTGCCAACCCCTACCACCTTGACCCCACCCCGACCCACCCTACCCTACCCCCACCCCTCGTATATCACCCCTTACCCCTACCTTACCCCTTACCACATGCCCCTACCTCGGCCCCACCCTACCGCCATCCTACCCTCACCCCACCGCCATCTTACCCCACCTTTTCCCTACCTCGGCCCCAACCTGATCCCGGCCCCACCCTACCTACCCCCCACCCTACCCTTATCATACCGCGGCCCCACCCTACCGCCATCCTACCCCAACTCCCTACCCTACCCACTACCCCCACCCTTACCCCTAACCACGACCCTAACTCACCCAACGCCCTACCCCTAGACCTTACCACCCCACCCCGACCATAACCCCTTACCCCACTCATACCTTCCCTACCCCAACCCCTACGAGTAGGTATGGGTGGGTATGAAGTGTTGTAGGGGAGTATGGGTAGAGTGTAAGATCGTGGTAAGGGTAGGAGTCAAGGGTGTGGAATTGGATGTAGGGTGGGGGTACGAGGTATAGTGGCAGGGTAGGGGTTAGGGGTATGGGTACACATACGAGGTGATCAACCCCACATATTATATTATATATTTGTGTTCATGAATGTTTGTGTGTCTATATATGTATAGGGTTATTTTGGACATTTTAATATTAAACGATGTTTTAAATCTTTTGAAGTAAACATGATCTTACAACATTGCTTATTTTATGCGCAGCTTATTAACGCAGGTCTTAATAAGCACCATTTAGTAACTCGTGAAGTAAACGTGTCCTCAGTCTTCTGGATGATCACAAAACTGGGTGAAAAAATTGATGAACATGTTTTCAGATTTGAAAATGGAAAACTAAAAAATAGAAAGAGAAAATTGGAGATAGAAAAACTGAAAAATAAAAACAGAAAATTGGAGAACGAAAAACAGAAGTAGAAAACAGGAAAATATCTCTGTTAGTAAACAGGCCCTTAGTTTCATAGGAGTGATCATGATCCCCATCAAAAGGTAAAAAATCCAAATTCATATTAGAACCTCTCATATGAACCAACCTCAACTGAGTCTTGTTCAACTGCTAATTTTTGGAAGCAATTGAGTGCATCAAGGTGCATCAAGGTAATTGCTTTTGTTATCCCAGTAAGAAAAAGATTGATCCCCGTCCATTTCGTACTTTTGGAATAAAGAGAGAATCAAATCCCCTCTCGATTATTCTCACAAATCCTCTAAAGAAATTAGCATCATACTAAATAGTAAGCGATTTATGCAATTCCAATCTAGTACAAAATTTATTACCCGAAAAAATCTTGAGCATGAAGTCTTTCGACCATTTAACCCTACCAATATCCAAGATCTATAACAGATCATATTCCATGTTTGGTTTCAGAAATGTGAATAGCATTGCAATCAATAATTTTAAAATATAAATTTTTGGTTTCAATAAAAATATCAAACTCATCTTCTTCCTTGTGAATGAGTTCGTTGCATCCTGCCATTCCCCTCCAAAATGCTACGTATCAACAAAACCCTTGCCTTGATAATCCCTTTGTTGCATGTACGATCTGGAATCACGCGAACTCCAATTTGTTCACCAAGGTTTATAGCCCCTACGCCAATTCATATCAGAATCTGGCCGCAATCTCCAATCAGGCCGGCAGAAAGACTGGGCCTGAGCTCCAAACGATCGTTGCCTTTCATCCCAAAGGAAAGGCCGTCGACTCCATCCACTGTGATGCACAGGACGCCGTCGCACTGAGCCATACGCCAGCCGCGTTCGTTCTCCGTGCCTGACAATTGGACGATTAGAGTCCCATCTCCGTTCAGTTAACCTCAGATGCCTATCCCAAAGGAAGTCGGCGATCTGGCGACGAAAATTACAAATCGGGAATCTCCCTCGCGCTGCAGATCTCATTTCCCGATTATCTTAGATTTCATTCATTGAAGAGTAGTTATTAAAATGCAATTGACATGTAGTTAACTCCAAGCAAAGGATTTGGAATGCTATTTAAAGTTAATTTTCTGGTGTTTCACATAGTGTATGAATATCAATCAATACACACAGTATCATAAGTGTCGCTATATATGATTTTTTTTCCCTTTTCAATAGATTTCAAACTCTTTCATGCTCCTGTTGTGTACACTACTTTGAACTATCATACACTTGTTAATTTGGCCTATCTCATATGTTGTCAGATTTTGTGCCAGCCACAAAAGTGACCTTCACAACTGCGTGGTTTGACAATACAATGACTTTAATACATGTAAGTCATTTAATACGTTCAAGTAGTGTATAACAAGAAAGTTCACAATCATACAACTTTTTCTAAAAAAAGTTTTCTAATTCATTACTCCCTCCGTCCCTAATAACTTTGCCAAGTTTGACCGGCACGAGGATTAATAAAGTAAAAACTGTGTGGTTGAGGTTTGTGCAGAGGAGAAAGAATTAACTGTAACCACAAATTCTTTACTTAAATGGGAAAGTGACAAAGTTAATGGGACATCCAAAAAAGGAAAGTTGGCAAAGTTATAAGGGACGGAGGGAGTACATTTCATTGTAACCATCGTATGACTCTAAACATGTCTTAGCATTACATCTGATTATACATGCCACATTTTTGCAAAAAAAAACATTTCACTTCTTTTACATACTCAACAACCACAATGCATATTTCATTCATGTCTTACCTCAGTGCTCCCATATACATGTATGTATATATGTCAATATTACATACTCCCCACCTGATACAATCATACAACCCCTAAATAAATAATTCAAGTAAATAAATAAAATAAAATGATGGTTTAAATTACGCAGTCAAACCACACAGGTTAACGACTTCAAAACTCTGAAGCAGCATCAAAATAAAAACCAGGAACTTCAAAAATACTCCGACGGAGCATCAAAGCCTGCAGGAACGTCAAAAAACTCCGAAGCAGCATCAAAACATGCAGTTTCGTCTCCGTCTCCAACTGTCGTACCTGCAGGCGCCGCCGCCGCTTTCATCGGAGATGGTAAAGCATTTGTGAAGCCTTCTAGCCCATCTCCACCATGACCTTCCTTATCACCACCAAATCCGAACTCCCCTGGATTACGGCACGGTTCCTCGAACATAAGGAAATCTAGGCTGTTATCATTGCTTCCGTCTTTGTAGAAATCGAGCAAGTACGATTCTCTCTCAACTTTCTCCTCCTCCACTTCCTCCACCATATGAATATCAGAAAGTGCCGGATACAATTCGCCCGCCGCATCCATCCAGAAGTTGAAAAAGCTCTCTTTATCTATAATTGTTGGATTGAAGGCGGTCGAAGAGGCATAATCCGCTTCGATTGGGACTTTATGATGTTTTAGCTCCATAAATTCCGCTGAGAAATCGTTGTTGTTGTGAAGAAGATGATGATCGCCTGCTTCATTTGTAGCATAGATAAATAGTAGTTTAAATGAGAATAATAGAGTTATGGATTTGATATATATGTCATGTATATTATAAACATGTTTTATATGAGTTTAGTCGGCATGTTTATGTACCGGCGACTGCCGAGACCCTTTGCTTTACTCTGGAACTCTATATTTACCCTGTCATCTCACTTAATTAATATCAAGATTTCTTACCAGAAAAAAATCAGCTATTGAGTAGGCACTCGTAGCAGTAAGATATGTTGTCGTTGCTCTGCATTTGAGTCATGTCACGTAAGTACTAAGTGAACTACACGCTAATTTTAAAATTTAGGATTATAATCAATATTACGAATCAAATTTTGCCATTTTTAGTTTTGATAGTGTGAGTCTAGGGTTTTCCTAGTTGAATTTTTCCGGTAGAGATTTGACTCTTCTTGTCTTGCGTTTATTCTTGTTGTTAGGAGGCCGCACAAAAAGTTTTCATTTGACTCTCTTTTTCTCACGGTTGTTGTCAATCTTAAAGGAGGCGTGAAAGTGGTTGCATGTTTTGGAAACGAATCCAAGGTTCAAGAAACGATAATCATGTCTGCTATGGAAGATCTAAAGCAACGTTGTCTCATTCCTGCAATTGAGGAAGAGATCAAAGGGTTAATTTTTGGCGAATCAACATGGGTAGAGGGTGAAGGGCTGAGCAAGGGAGAAGACATATCAACAGTCCGCCCTCCTCCTGAACCGTTGCCTTGGAGCGATCAAGATGCTAGGGTTTGGAAGATTTATCAGTTATTTTTTATGGTTTTATTTTCACGTTTTTTATGTTGCTCTGTTTTTTGTTGATGTCTTTACTTCTAGGTCTTCAATTATGATTGACAAATCTGCTAGATATTATGTCGAGGGAATGATATATATGGCCCATGGTTGTTGTGTCACACCCGTTTGGTGATTAGCGATTCATATTATTACTCTTTCAGTGGTGATCGTCTTTAAGTTTAGCCGTAAGGTTGATAGTGCGAGTTGGTTAGGGATAGTTGTTGTCAAGGTTAATCTTTTTGAGTTTGTTGTAACGAATCCTTTCCTATGATTTTAATATAAAGCGTTTTGTTTTGATGATAAAAAAAAAGTTTTGAAGTGTTGATTTTTCAAAAGTCACAAAATTTTACTTGTAATGGTTACGTGAGGCATAATATATCAAATTGAAGGTATTTCATTCATAACTCTATATTCTAAATTTCCCAGATGGGTCGGTTGACCACCCTAACTCCCTTGACTCCGCCCCTGGTTGAAACTTGTACAAGTGAGAGATAACTAGTTTAATCACACTTTTTATTACTTTAATTTTTTTAAGATGACAAAATATAAAGAAATATGGCTAGATTGGATGGGAGGGATGAAGTATAAAAGTATCAAGAAAGAGTAATAGAGATACTTTCCAGTTTTCCAAAAAACTGAAAAACTGGAAAAAGGAAAACAGAAAATGTGTGTACAGAAAAAATTGCTGGAAAATTGGAAAAAGGAAAACATAAAAATGTGTTTACCAAAACCAAAAACATAAGACATGTCTCCATTTTCCTTAATGAATTAGAGAAGTGACTTTTACTAGCTTTCTAAATTTGGAAAACGTTGATGTTGCAGTGCCACTTCAATGAATTTGCATACTTACATCTAGTGGTGAATGTGGTCCCGCTCTGGCTAATGATCCGACAGTCCCTATCTGGTCTGATGTACGATCCGGCGGCCCGGTCCGCTCATCGACCCAGTGGTCCCTGTCGGGTCTGGCCGACAGCCGAGCAATCCCTGTTGGTCCGGTCGACGGCTTGGCGGTCTCTATTCGGTTTAAGACCCGACAGTCTCTATCTGGTCTGGTCCATGACTCGACGACCTCTGTATGATCCGGTCCACGATCCAGCGGTCCCTATCCGGTCCGGTCCATGACCCGACGGCCTTGTCGGGACCGTTCGACGATCCGATGGTCCCTGTTCGGTACGGTCCATGACTTGGCGGTCCCTATCCGGTCCGGTCCACGACTCGGCAACCCCTGTCGTGTTCGGTCGATGACCCGATTGTCCCCATCCAGTCCGATCCACGACCAGGCAGTAACTGTTTGGTCCAGTTGACGGCCGAGCAGTCCCAATCCAATCCGGTCTGGTCAATGACTCGGTGGTCCCCGTCAGATCTGATCAACAACCCAACGGTTCCCGTTCTGCCTTGTCAACAACTCGACGGTCCCCATCATGTTCGATCAATGACTCGGCGATCCCCATCCTGTCCGGCCAACGACCTGATGATCTGTGTTCAGCACGATCGACAACCGGGCGATTTTGGGCCTGTTTCGCCAACGATCCAGTGGTCCCTGTCCGGGCCGCTGAATAACCCGACATTCCAGTCTTGGTTTTTTGAAATCAATTTTTAAAAGTGAAGAGTTTTAAAAGAGCCATTGAGTTGTCAACCAATAGGGAAATAAGAAAAGAATTTGTCAAACTAGCCGTTGAGATCGACCGGGATTGGCCAGTTTCGGTCCCAGCTTTCCTATACGTGGGACCTGGTACCCTACTAGGGTTGTGTTAGGTTCGGCTCCGGAATGAGACCATACTTTCGATCTTCTAGTCAGTCACAGAACCGAGTTAAAAAAATTGATGAACATGTTTTCATATTTGAAAATGGAAAACTAAAAAATGAAAACAAAAAATTGGAGATAGAAAAACTGAAAATGAAAACATAAAATTGGAGAACGAAAAACAGAAATAGAAAGACTGAAAAATGTAAACAGAAAATTGGAGAATAGAATTAACAAAAACAGAAACCAAGCACCTTGTGGTTCGATGACATCACGGTGACACTCCCAAGGAGGAGGTCACAGGTTCGAAAATCATCTCAATCAAGAATGTAAGCATTTAACATTGAAGCATTGAACAAATATTATAAAAGACTAGAAAGTCCAATCAAAAAGAAAATAAAAAAAATAAAAAGAAACACAAATAGAAAAACTCAACAATTTTTTTACTTTTTTATTCAAGTAAACAATAAAATATAAGAGTTAGTTTAGGAATTCGGAGTTTGTTGAGTTCTCATAAATTATATACACAGATTCCAAGGCCGGGGAATAAAAAGTGTCATTTGAGAAATGTAATGCCATTTGGTTGGCTGCATGCTCATGCACATTTGACCGAGAGTTGAAACTTCATTACGGTCCAAACTCCCCATTAAGCAACACGTACAAACATGCTTAACACACCCGGCGCCTGACCCCCTCCCTCACTAAACACTCCACTCTACTACTCCCCAACAGACACCACCTTTTCTCAAGTCCTATAAATTTCACCAAGTTAAGGTTGTCTGTCCATCTTCACCAGCGGTCAGGTTGCTCATAATCCGGTGAAAAGGGCAGAAAGGTAGAATCTTGAGTTGGATAAAGCCTGGGTTTTTTTTCTTCATAGTTTGAGACGAAGAAAAAGATGACTTCTCCTCTTCCTTCTTCTTCATCCTCTTCATCTTCCTCATACATTGCTTCCGGCAATGATATTGAGTTTCAGCCGGAATCCGCCACTCCCATTGTAAATCCGGCCAAACCCATTCCTAAACGCTCCCGGAGAAAGAAAAACTCAGCCCTCAGTTCTGATTCTCCGACATGTGGGCCACCCAGGAAGAGCTCTCTTTTCAGGGGAGTCACAAGGTAGCTAGGCACACTCACCAACTCTAGGGTGTGTTTGTGTGGGTATTTTGTAAAATAATGATTAGCCAATGTGTGTGTTTCAGTGCATGCATGACACTTGACAATTAAAGTCTGCTTTTTTAATTTTTTTTATTATATATTTATTGTTTATTCACTGTTTTTTTTTTTTAAATTTTAGGCATAGGTGGAGTGGCAGATATGAAGCTCACCTATGGGACAAGAGTATTTGGAATAGCACCCGGAGCAAGAAAGGCAAACAAAGTGATTATATGCTGCTCTCCTTCTAAACTTCACTTACTATTTATATTCTACCCCGCACTTTTCCTAAACTAATTATTATTTAAACTCATTCTGTTTTAAAAGTCAACCATTTTATTTTTGGAAAAATTGAAGCAAATGGGATTTGATATATCTTGATGTTTTCCATTTTTGATATATCAATATTAATTAGTTGGTTTACTGATTTTGTGATGTTTCTTTCTTGCTTATCTGATCCATTTGATGATCCTGGCAATCTGGAACCTATGGTATCGCCATCACTTAGCTTACTTGGGTAAGCATTTCTTTTCACCAGTAAAGAAAGACATTATTATTAGTCTTTTTAAAATATGCTCACCATATTTTCACCATCATCATCATCAAGAGAAAGTGATTATTATTTTCCTGAAATGGAATGAAGGTGCATATGACAGTGAAGAGGCTGCTGCCAGAACCTATGATCTTGCTGCTCTTAAGTACTGGGGGCCAGGGCCAGACATCATTCTTAATTATCCGGTATAGGGTCACTTTTATCTTTGGAAATCATTTTGGTTTTTCAAGTTTACTCAACTAGTCAATTACCATCAATGATATATTTTCTGTAGATTGAGATGTACACTAAAGAGCTTGAAGAAATGAAGAATTTGTCTAAGGAGGAGTTCCTAGCCTCGCTTCGGAGGCAGAGTAGTGGGTTTTCTCGAGGCGTTTCTAAGTACCGCGGGGTTGCAAGGTACACACCATAAACATTAAACGATAAACAAACACATAACACCTTTAGTTATCCATGATATATTCATATCGTGTTGAGTCTTTTAATTTTAATAGAGTTAAAAGAGTCCAATATTAAGGGAGTTAAATGTCTCAGTGAAATCATAATTTCATATCTAGCTTATTGTTGATGCTTTTAGTTTTGTATGTTTAGAATCAACTGGCTCAAATTGAGTTGATTTTTTTCTTTAAAAGAGCTGATGCAACTACTATTTATAATTAAGTTGATCATTGAACTTTCACAGACACCATCACAACGGTCGTTGGGAGGCACGGATTGGACGAGTCCAGGGGAACAAGTATATGTACTTGGGAACGTTCAGTATGTTTTCCTGTACATTGCCTGTAACTTATTATATGTTTGCCATAGTTCAGTTTTCATTTGCCAAACTACTTTCCATTTGCCATATGTGTTGTAGCTTTTTCAACATGTTCTGATTTGTCAAACTTTTTGAAAATTTGGGTCAACTTTCTCCTTGCCTGCTCTAGTGAGAAATCTGTTAACAAGTATCTGTCACATATGTTTTGTTAAGTGACAAGGTTTCATTTACTTCCAATGCAAATTATTATCTCCCATCCCAAAAAGAGAAACAAAAGTGTCCTGTTTTTTCCCTACTGGGAATATTATCCATTGTAGATTTGTGGGCACCATAGCATTATTATACCCCCAGCTGTCTCTGAGTCTGAGTAGTATATGAGGCATTCTGATTTGACAAACTTTTTATTAATAAAGCTGCTGTTTAATGTATGATCTTTTCGCCTACTGACTGAAAAGGTGAAAGAATAGATAATAGAATGATCAACCGAGAAAAGTAAAAAGGTAGCAAGTTTTAAGAAACTAAACATTATTTTGGGACATTTGGAATGTGAGCTGAGAGTGTATTTACCTAACAAATCACCCAAGTATTATGAAATGAACAACTTTATCTAACAAATAAGAGCATACCATTAATATAATAAGGGCAGGTAGTAACAAACCTGTAAAGGTGGCCAAGTTGGTGAAGTAGGCGAGCTAGTGACTGAGAAGTCATGAGTTCAACCATTGTCAACACCTTCGGGTCGAGCCTCTCACATGCCTGCCTAGTATGGTTTATCTGGTTGATGTGTTTTGCAAGCCATTGCATTCAACCCGAGTTTTTACCTTGTGCACACTTTAAGAGTAGGGGCTGCGCTTTACGCCTTACCATAAAAAGAAAAAAGTAATAACAATGTGATTAGCAAACAGAAATACTCCCTCCGTGGCATATAATTATTTTCACACTTACCTTTTTGAGATGTCCTAAAAAATTCTTCCCCATTTACATTTTTGGAAAGTTTTGTGGGCTAATATGCATTTACATTTTTCTTAATTAACCAAAGTCATACATTTTCATTTTCACTTTCTTAAACTCAAATCCAAGTCAAATCGGAAAGATTTTTTTGGGATGAAAAGAGTAATAAATAACAAGTGATCTATGTTTATAAGATTCTAACCTTTTAATAGATACCTATCAAGTTTTTCACCATTTGTTTGTTAAAATTTAAATTGGAAATGAAGGCTTAACAGTTAACAATACATTTGATTTAACAGATTGAATTCAATCTTTTAGTGTGGTTTGGCACAAATCCCTTAAATGACATCAACCCAGTCTATTAATTCTATTGTGATTAATTATTGATGACATAGTAATAATTCTTATCCATGCTTATGATTCATAGTTTATTTACTTGTTTTTTAATTACTGGTGGATGAAGAAACTGAAGAGGAAGCAGCTGTAGCATATGACATAGCAGCAATCAAACAGAGAGGGCCAAAGGCACTCACCAATTTTGACATGAGCAACTACGCAGATCAGCTCAGAGAAATAGGAGAAGCTCAGTCCGGTGCACAGCCGATGGACGGTGACACTGATGAACGCCGCCGAGCAGGGAAAGCACAACGGCTGACTGATGAAGAAGGCGATCATCATCTTCTTCACAACAAAAATGATTTCTCAGCGGAATTCATGGAGCGGAAACGTCATGAAGTCCCGATCGAAGCAGATTATGCTTCTTCCACCGCCTTGAATCCAGCAATTATGGATGAAGAGAGTTTATTCAACTTCTGGATGGAAGCGGCGAGCGAACCGTATCCAGCACCTTCTGGTATTCACATGGCGGAGGAAGCCGAGGAGGAGAAAGTGGAGAGAGAATCGTACTTGCTGGATTTCTACAAAGACGGCAGCAATGATAACAACCTCGATTTCCTTATGTTCGAGGAACCGTGCCGTAATCCAGGGGTGTTCGGATTTGGAGGTGATGTGGAAGGTCGGGGTGGAGATGGGCTAGAAGGCTTCACAAATGCTTTACCATCTCCGACGACGGCGGCGGCGGCGGCGCCTGCAGGTGCGGCAGTTGGAGACGGAGACGAAACTGCAGGTTTTGATGCTGCGTCGGAGTTTTTTGACGTTCCTGGTTTTGATTTTGATGCTCCTTCGGAGTTTTGAAGCCGTTGACCTGTGCGGTTTGCCTGCGTAATTTAAAGTATTAAATCATATTTTTATTTGTTTTTATTTTATTTTATTTTATTTATTTATTTAGGGGTTGTATGATTGTATAAGGTGGGGAGCATGTAATATAGACATATATACATACATACATGTATATGGGAGAGACATGAATGAAATATGCCTTGGTTGTAGGACATGTAAAAGAAGTGAATTGTTTTTTTTTTTGCAAAAAATATGGCATGTATAATCAGATGTAATGTTAAGACATGTTTAGTCATACAATGGTTACAATGAAATGAAATGAATTCGAAAAGGTTGTATAAAAGTATGAATGTGAACTTTCTTGACATACATTACTTGAATGTATTAAATGTGTTACATGTATTAAGGTCATTGTACTGTCAAACCACATAGTCCCGAAGGTCACTTCGGTGACTGGCAAGGAATCTGACAGCATATGAGATGGGCCAAATTCACAAGTAACCACAAGTTTATGGTAGTTCAAAGTAGTGTACACAACAGGAGCATGAAAGGGTTTGACATCTATTGAAAAGAAAAAAAAGTGTTTTAAAATCATACGAAGTATATAGCTACATTTATAATGGTGTTTCTATAGATATTCATACACTATGTGAAACACCAGAGAAACAACTTTAAATAGCATTCAAAATTCACTACTTGGGGTAAACAACATGTCAATTGTGTTTTAATAACAGCTCTTCATTGAAGAGGATCATCAAAAACACTACAATCAATAAAAAGTAATAGATTGAAATAAAAAGTGATTGTGTCCAAAATAAGCTTCTCATAAATATGTTAAATGCATGAGTTTGTAATCCGTTTTACAAAAATTACACAATTCAAAGTATGTCATATAAGTATATTGCAGAAAGTATGATTAAATAATTGACCCCTTCATACTACCATCTCAATGTTTTACTTAAAACATATATAAATACATATTGTAAGATATATATATAACATCAAGTGTCTGCTTATCTCATTGTTTTGAGAAAGTAGTGTTTCAATGTCAATATCAAGGACAACAAAATATTCTATTATTTTACAAATCTATGTACTTGTTAGAGAAAATAGATGACTATATTCTATTATTTGAACTTCTTTTTGTGGTATGAAAATAAAGCGCCTCTATTACCTTGCACCTGTCTCATTTGCAATTTATTCCTTAAATAAAATCATATACCAGTATATGTACACACAAAAGTAAGAAAACAGAGGAACACTGTAAGATTTACATGAATAACAAAAGGATATTTAGGGCTGAGGTCATTTTATAATCATTGCATTCATCGTCATCACAGTGGCTGAATAAGGCAAGATCGGAGAAAATTAAACTCACTTCGCATTTACACATAAATTTGATAAAACATAGGAATAGTGTGAGATATACCAAATCACGAAAGGAGATGCAAAGTCTGAGAACCTTTTATTACCGCTCAGTCTTCATAGGCGTAATAGTAGTCCTATAAGGCAAGATCTGACTAAAATAAAATGACTTAGTATTAGATTTTTTTTTGCTAAATTGAAAATACCATGAAATCTAATGAAGAAGAAGTGCATGTACACAAAAACTGATAAAACTATGAAATAGTATGAGATATACCGAAATCACACTAGGAGATGTAAGGTCTGAGATCCTTTGATGATCACTCAGTTCATCGCACAAATATAGATACACATCACAGTTTAAAATACATACGATCGTATGTCTGGTGAGAATCGTCATGAATATTGAATATGTATCTTGAATTGGATAAGAATAAGGGTGAGATGTGGGTGTGTGTATGAAATAGGAAGGCCGGAAGATTGACGAAAATAGAAAGGTTTTCAGAGAACCGATGATCACTGAAGTCGGCCGAAGTGCAAATGATTTGGCCGCAGGGTAAACACACCTTATATAGGGCGGTTTAGGTTAGGGTTGTGGAGCAGACCTAAATGGTTATTAATTGGGCTGGGTTCTTTGCTAATGGGCTGTCAAAATTAGGATAAACTGCTCCATATGGATTGTTGGGCAAAAATGGGTCTTTATTGTTATTATTCTATTATATATATTATATTATTATTGTAATTATATAATTAGTTATTATTAATTAAATTTGTAATAAAATATTAATATTATGTTTTTTGTGTTTATAAGAAGTATAATATAAAATGTCTTTTGTCTTTTTCTCATGCAAAGTTTAAATCGTTGTTTGAAATATATAATATATTATTATTATTATTATTATTTTATATAATATCATTACTATATTATTATATTTTTATTATAGTATTATATTAGTACATGTCAAATTAGATATTATTAATAGTATTATTGGTATTATAATTTAAATTATGATTATTATTATTATCACTATTAAGCTTTAGTGTTAGTGTATCACAATATACAAAATACTTTTAATATAATAAAAAAATTAATAATTTTTATTAAGATATTATAAATCTTAAATGCTTATTATTTAAATTAAATGTGCATTGATGTAATTTTAAAAAATGATTCCAATAAAATTGTTTGGTCTAAAATTAGATTTCAATGCTTTTTTAGAATCTACTGATATGAGCATACACAAATTGATATTTAAGCATATTTGAGATTTTAAATGAGTTTTTAAATTTTTGATGCTCATTTTGTAAATTATCTATGCTCATTTGATATTGGTGTAATACTCATTTTAAAATGAGCATCACACTGGACAACTTAAATGTCATATCCATGCATATTAGTGTAATGCTCATTTTAAACTTTTCGATACTCATTTCATACGTTATGTATTCTCATTTAATATTTGAGCACACTAAAGATTTTAAATGATTTTTCGAATTTTTTGATGCTCATTTCGTAAATATGTATGCTCATTTGATATTGGTGTAATGCTCATTTGGTAAGTTACCTATGCTCATTTGATATTGGTGTAATGCTCATTTTCAATGCATATTTTAAAAGTACCATATTACATTAGATTCACATATTGAGATTTATAAGAGTTGATTATAGATATAATTTAATAAGTTTTTTATAAGAAAATGAAAGTGAGCACTATTATATATAGATGAACTATTGAAATGAGTTTTTAATATACTAAAATGAGCATAATGCTTAACATAAATGGCATTGATGTAACATTACGAAACCAACAAAATAAAGTTTAAGTCTTGAATAACATATTACAAAGTATAAAATTGTTGATGAATTTGTTATAATTCTTATATATATATATATATTGATAATTTATTAAATAAATTATTTAAAATTTCATAAATATAACAAATTATCATATTAAGAATTACACATATAACAAAAAAACATGGTTGTTTGGGCACTGGTGAAGTACGTTCGTTGCCAGCAGCTGCAGGCACACGACAAGGAAGCGAAGCAGGGGCTGAAAGTTAAATTCATTGGGTTGAAAGTTGAGCACAACCACAAAAATATTTGGCTATACGGTTCACACCCGTACAGCAGGATGTATCATATATGCACTCTTAGGAGATAGAGTTATACTATTTATTTATTTGTTTATTTTAAAATGAAAGTTTAGAATGTTAATTGTTTTTCATGAATGCTAAAATATTTTAAATTATGAAATTAACACAAAATTGATATTTTTGAAAAAACAATACATGACCATGATGCTAAAATAATTTTTTATACAAGATTTGAGGTATTTAAATTACACATGCAAATTTGAGATATTTAACTTTACACTCCTATCAACAATATATTTTTCCGGGGTTTTAACTTCAATTCAATACACGACTTTCATTTTTAATCTCACGTGGATGCTCAAGAGTAGTTTTTCCCGCCGTAGGGTTTCAAGTGTCGATCGAGTTTTAGCGGCATAGGCAAAGCAAGCAGCGGCCGTCTCCCCTAGGTTTAGGGGTTGATTTCTCCACTAAGGCTCTCTTCTTCGGCAGACTGCAACGCCTATATGACGGCCAAAGGTTGTATACCCCTAGCACCAGGTGGAGTCGTGGAGAGTTGCGAGGATGTCGTTCATGGTTGAGATCAGAAGGTCATGGACGAAGCATGAGGCTAGATGCTGGAACAGATCTGAACTGGAGGCAAGGTGCGAAAGAAGCTACAACCTACAGTACTATTGGACCCCTCCTAAACCGCCGACATGGAGTGCCGGAGAATTTAGGGTTTGGAAGCTGTTTTTTAATTTTACTATTTGATTGTTATTTTATTTTTCATGATCAGTTTGTTTAGTTTTCTGTTGGCTACTTTTATTGGTGTAAAACTCCTGCATTAGGATTGGGTGATGGGAGTTCTGCTTAAACCGTTGTTGGCTCATTTATGCCTATTATAGGATCATCCAGTTATATTGGTTTTTTAGAGATGATTGATTCTAACTCTGGTTCGAGGGTTGACGGTTGCATGTGGTCCTTTCGTCATTTCACCGCTATCAGAATGCTGCAATAACAACTTAAGCCGTTTTGACGATAAAAAAACTTTGAGATATTACCCAAAATGTGACTAAAAAAGTTTGGAAATTCCAAAATAGGACTTCCATGTTTTTATTCCCAAAATAGGACTAATTACTGTCATGTTTTGACAGTACCAGACTTCAAACATGGCAGTATTTTCCAAATTTGGCAGTAATTAGTCCTATTTTGGGAATAAAAACATGACAGTCCTATTTTGGAATTTTAAAACTTTTTTAGTCCCATTTCGGGAACTTTCCCCAAAACTTTGCATTCCTACGAAGTTGAGATATTTTAATTATTTTTCGAATATTTTAAAAAAGAATACGTTGGAAACATTTGTAAGTTAATTAAAAGCCCGAATCAATTAACTCGGCGGCCCAGCTCTATTTTCTCACCCGTAAACCCACCCCGAAGATGCACTCTCCTTTGCCAGCAATCAGCCGTTCTTTTTCATCTAGCAACCCAAAACTTTCTGTCCAATTCTTAAGTTTCGACCAAAGCATCAATCAGATTTTATCTTTGCATCTTTCAATCGGGTAGCTGAATTCCTTCCATCTGATTATAGTTCTTTCTTGAGTTAGTTAAATTTTTGGATAGCTTGATTTTTTTTTTGAACCATCACGAGGATATCTGAATTTCATACCTCTGCACCAATTCCATCTTAAACGATCCACACTGGCGATTCAGCGACGCCGACCTAGGTCACGCAGAGCACCAGCCGCCAGTCCTGGACGCCACCCTCTAGGCCTCTTCCAATTCCAATTATCACTGCAATTTTAATTTTAAGGTTTTATTTTGAACCCTAATTTCTTAAATAATTTACTAATTTGTTATTTGTATGTGGTATTATTGTTCGTGATTTGTGCTATTGAGTAATGAGTATTGATTATTGTGTTGGTAAGACTGTAATGTCATGTGTAAGCGTGTAAGAGTAAGACTGTAAGTTTATAATGTGTTTATGAATTTTTGTTTGATCCTATCAATTTTTCACTTTTTAGGTTATAGTTGTAGGACTTGTTATGATTTCTGTCTCCAATTTAGAAATTAAATTTGACAATTTGACTATTTTCATTGAGAAGGAATTTGTTAGTACAATAGATATGAGAGTTGTGCATGATGTGACAGAAATGGGCACCGTCATGAATCACCAAATGCTGTTTCTTTTGTTTTCAATAAATTGAGCATTTTCTACCAATTCAAAGTGTGAATTATTATCTTAATCATACTGTGCAACATCATGAACAACAAAGTGCATCACTTTGGGTCATTCTCATTTGTCACGTGAATAACCTTTCTCACCAATATCAGACGTTAACTAAGCATAGGTGTACTCAATATTATAAATGTAGAGTACGCTTTTAAATTTGCACTTTAAGAAAAATACAAGTGAACTAAAAAACTTGGAAATGAATAATATTTATAAAAGTGTAGTGTGATGACAAAAACGTTGCACAACTGATGGGATATATGCAGAACATGCGGCATTACTAATGAAATTGTATGTTAATATAGAACATGCGGCATTTTAATATGCAGAACATGCGGCATTACAATTTCGATTAGTCACCTATAGGCGCCTAGGCAGGCACCTTGTTGCCTAGGTGATTTGGCGGTTGGCTGGCGCCACGACTCACCTTACTGCCGTGACAAGCATGCTTCCAAGCCATAATTCTCTACTCAGTTTATAGCCATTGTGATTGACAATTTGCAACCTACACATATGTCAGTTTTAGTTATGGAATTTGCATCTTTATCGTAGTGGTTAAGTAGATATTTAATTTTTCTTTTTTGCTTTCCAACAGATTGATATAAGAAGCTGCGCAACAAAAACAGATTGGTAAAGGAATGTGTTCCCAGTAAATGAACTCATTTTTTCCATCAATCATTGATTGCCATGAAACTACTTGCATCTTTTACATGCTCCAGCAGGGCACTTCGTGTTGGAATAAAAGGACATTTGCAATTACGATCATTCCAACCTGATTTTGCCCCAAGAGATCCAAATGTGAAACCTATAAAATACAAATACCCTACAGTCTATGATCCATACGGGCCTAGACCCTCACCGTCCGATAAGATTATGCAACTTGTAGAACGCATAGCTTCCCTAACACCCGATGAGCGGAAACAAATTGGGCCCACGCTCAGAGAGAGACTGAAGCTTCCCGTGCTGAAAGCCATTTCATCAGAAGAAGGCATTAGTGGTGGGGCTGGAGTGGGACAAGGCGGGCCTGCGAAGGCGGAAGAGAAGAAGGTGGAGAAGACGGCATTTGATGTGAAGCTAGAGAAGTTTGATGCGGCTGCAAAAATCAAGGTGATCAAAGAGGTGCGTTCATTCACCAGTTTGGGGTTGAAGGAAGCTAAGGAGCTGGTGGAAAAGGTGCCTGCCATACTTAAGCAAGGAGTCACCAAAGAGGAGGCAAATGACATAATAGAAAAAATCAAAGCTGCTGGAGGAATTGCAGTTATGGAATGATTAGTAATAGCAAGTAGTCCCTCCTGATACGGCTTTACGCATATGTCAAGTCATTATTATGTCCGGACAGAATGATCTCGTCTTTGCATGAAATTCTACTGCCTCCTGCAATTTTCCAGAGAATTAAAGAACAATATTTCGGTTCACTCAGCTTAAGCCATTTCTTCTTGATATATATGGATTAATGGATAGATGCTCAGATCAGGGGTGAAGGCCAGATCACTGGCATGCCCCTACCTCCGCCCCTCGTGAGATCATTCTTATTTAGGTTGTTTTTGGGGTATTGATTCAAAGAGAATCAGACAATTACCACAGAATAAGCTGGTTTTGAAATTAAAAATGGTTGTGGTACCTTTTATTTATAATCTAATGGATAATTTACCCATTGGGTGTTTTTTAACATGCTTAAATTCACGAGGTGCACCAGCTCGTCCAACAGCTCTTTCACATTTAGCTGTCGATAGATTTTGTTCTATACAAATTTGATCTGCCAAGACAGGTAGAGTTACTAACTTCATGGTGCTTTTTGAGAGGAACTAACTTCATGGTGCTTTAGGAATAGAATTAGTAACTTCATACGTTGAAATAATATTATATGTACACAATATGGAAATTGAAAACTTTATATGCATTTGGCCCCGGGGCAATGCTAGGGTACAAACTTTTTTTTTTGTTTTATTTAATCATAAAAGATCGACCGTTATATTAAAATTGAGAACACATATAAGTCAATATTCAGACAAAATTTAAAGATCCAATCGTGAATTCTAAGAGTAGACTTAGAGTCAGTCACCTCATATAAAGTAACATGACTCGCTAAATCTGGAACAGGTAAATTAAAGTTAAAACGATTGGAACCGAATTCCTATCAAAAGAACTCCAAAAATCCAAACATTCAAACTAAAACCACCTGGACTAAAACAGAAACAAGTGCTACTAAAGAGAAAATAATATTGAAATAAAATCTTTACACAAAACTCTTCAATATGAGTGATACCAACTCCTACCAACTCCACCACTGTCAGAATGGCTGACCAAGGCTTCACGATCCAGCCTCGATACAACCTACCAACCGCACCTCGTTCGTCCGCCAACGATATCTCCTTCGACGTAGTTGCAATCCCAAACGTTAGAACATTAAAAATCAGTATAATCTGTCGCTTCAACCCCATATTGATAGGGGCGATATAAAATCTCAACCCCTACAAAGAGGGGCAGATGTTAGGCATCTGCCTAATCAGTAGTTTTAAATAAGGAGGCTAGGGGAGTTAAATAGCTTATTAAGTGGATATAGCTTAATTAGTTGTCTATTTAGTCCCTGTGTGGACTTTTGCTATACATAGAAGCTGGAGTAGCCATAATAGGAGAGGATTATTTGATTTGTGTGTAACTTCTTGGGCATATAGCCTAAGAAGTCACTGTCCCTGTCCCTGTCCCTGGTTACCTAAGGTTTACCCTATTTCATCAATAAACAATATTTCTCCCTCAGTTTATCAGATCTGTGTGTTCTTTCATTACTTTTGGACTGGATTATTACCAGGTTCCTAACAGTAGACGACATCTAGAGTTTCTCTGCCCGACTATAAAACTACTAATTAGTTTGGGGCACGCGTAAATTATAATCCCAAATGAATAATCCAAACTATTGGCGGTCCGCTAATAATAATCCCAACTTCGATTATTTCAGAATAATCCAAACTTTAGGGACCTTTCGCCAATAATGATCCCTATAAATAAATTCTTGTAGTTTCTAAAGTGGATGAGAAGCGATATTGCAAGTGATACCTATAAATAATTCAACTTTTAATATTTACGCTTAATTTCTATTTAAAATTCACTTGATATAGAAGGTAATATATGATCATGAACCATTATTGACGGACGATTCATATAGTTGGGATTATACAAAAATCAATATATATATATATAAAAGAGGAACTTTTAAAGAGCATACAACGCGCCACATAACTCTGTCATGTCATCATATATAACAATTATTTAATTATTTTTATACTTTTTATTTTATTAATACATTCTATTTTTATTACATGTTGATATAGAAATCCACCTTATTTGGTAACTTTGGCAACCTCAAAATCATGTGTTATGTAGGCTATATTTTAGATTTCTAATTTCAAGATTAAGGATATTAAGGAATATATGTTCCGTATTTTACATACTTATTTCTAATTTGGAATCCCTGCTCCCTGAAGTCCTGGACGCTTGAAATTTCCTTTTTTTCTATTAGTTTAGAATTGTTCAATTGAGAATAGAGTTGAAATTTTAAAAACTACACTTTAGACATTTTTAATGTGACGAAATTATGAGTAAAATGCAACATCTCACTAATAAAATTTAGAAGTAATTATGCATACCATTTAGTCAGAACTTAATCCATTTTAGTGTTATCAAACGTGCTCTATAATAAACTGAGAGTTTTTTTCCTATTAAGTCATATCTAGATTAACACGTATGTCTGCGCTAAGATGTCTGATTTAGTGATATTTGTATTTGAGGCAATTTATTTTGTATGCTGAATAAACAGTCTGAATCATGTAAAATAAAGAATTTAGTATTATTCTTAATGTGCAGTGTCAATGAAAAATTTCATTTATTAATATGAGTCTATTCCACAATCAAATTGAAAATTTTTACAAAAAACGCCTCAATAGTCTGCCTTAATGAGAAGGACCGCTATTATTGAGCTTAATGATTAATTTAGTCTTTTGATTGAATGATTAAGTCATAGTTCCAATTAAGTCATGAGTAAACATTACTTAATGATTGAATTATTAAGTCAAATGTCATTAAGTCTATTTAGTCGAAATTAAACAACCCCGGAGTTTATTTTGCTCTTGCATCAACGCGCTATATAACTCTGCCATGTCATCATATATAACAATTATTTAATTATTTTTATTCCTTTTTTATTATTATTGCATTCTATTTTTATTGCATGTTGATATATAGAAATCCACCTTATTTGATAACATTGGCAACCTCAAAATCATGTGCAATGTAGGCTATATTATATTTTAGATTTCTAATTTCACGATTTAGAAACTTACATATGGATTTTTTTTCATGATTTAGGAGATTCCGCCCATTGAGTCCATTCAACTAGAATTTAATCAATTTTAGTAAAATAAGCCGATTCCACCAATTTTATTATTATCAAACGAACTCTATATTTAGACTGAGTTTATTTTACTTTTGCATCGCATTATATATATGATTCCAAAAAAATCAAATTCAAAAATTTGCTAAATTATGTACCGCCCGTGCATCGCACGGGCTTGAAACCTAGTAATTAATAATTGAGATTATTGTTTTCAATTTTTCCTTAATTTTAAGGGAAAGTTCCCGAAATGGGACTAAAAAAGTTCGAAAATTCCAAAATAGGACTGTCATGTTTTTATTCCCAAAATAGGACTAATTACTGCCATTTTTGGAAAATACTGCCATGTTTGAAGTCTGGTACTGTCAAAACATGGCAGTAATTAGTCCTATTTTGGGAATAAAAACATGGAAGTCCTATTTTGGAATTTTAAAGAAAGAATACGTTTGAAACGTTTTTTAATTAGTTAAAATCCCGAATCAATTTACTCGGCGGCCCACCCGTAAACCCACCCTGGTAGATGCTCTCTCCTTTGCCAGCAATCTGCCGTTCTTTTCATCTAGCAACCGAAAAGTTTCTTTCCAATTCTTCAAGTTTCTACCAAAACATCGATTTTTATCTTTGCATCTTTCAATCGGGTAAGCTGAATTCCTTCCATCTGATTATAATTCTTTCTCGAGTTAGTTTAAATTTTTCGATAGCTTGATTTTTTTTGAACCATCACTAGGATATCTGAATTTCACACCTCTGCACCATCAAGTTAACCCCACTCTGTTTTTCTTTTTAGAATTTTATACTCTTGTCTTTGCGGAATTTATTTCCAGAAAGTGTTAAAACTTTTAAAGCTTTTATTTGGTTGAGTCGTGCAGCAAATACAACTCTGATTTTCGGACTATTCCTTAGTTAGGGAGCGAGTAATACACAGAAGCACAGGTCCTTTGAGCTAATCTTTTACTTCGTAGTTCAAATTTTCGTTTAAACCTTTGATTAGCTTATGTTTTGTTCAATCAAAATTCCGAAAGCTGAATGTAATCCTGAGTTGGTTTATGTTCTTTACTTTTTCATTAGAGGGATGCAGCAAATATATGAATTCATTTTACTTGAGAGCAACTCTCAAAATTATTTGTTGACTCTATGTTCTAACTGGTACTTTTACTTGACTAATCGTGCTGTGCACACTTGTAATTTACCAGAACTCCGCGGGACAATCAGAATGGCTGACCTTACAGAACTTAATAATTGTTTAAGACAAATTAAAGCAAGAAGACAAGCAACAATACAGCCTCAACTCGCAATTCCCCAGAATGCTATAGGTGTAAATCCTGCTGAAGTTATGGCATTAGATATGACAGATCCAAATGCTCTTCTCAAAGCTCGATTAGCAAACCTGATGATGGAGCCTGTTTCAATTCCAGAGGCAAATAAGACCATGTTCTTAGATTTTCCCAACATAAACGCAAATCTACAAGTCGATGAAACGGACTTTCCTGATGACAAATACATAAGAGCTGAGGGGTATTTCATATTTAGAACAGATATAAATCATCTTTGTCTGATTGGAAGACAAGTAATTCCAATGCTTTCAAGTGGATTCAATACTGAAGGAGTAATTGGTTTATTATTACTGGCTTATAATTTACGCGTGCCCCGAACTAATGGAGAAGAATTTGTATTTGAGGAGTTGGATCCACATTTTTCAGTCAGAGATGTGGCTGGAGAAACTGTCGTTAGTGTTCAATACTCAGGAGCAGAGACAGGAATTTGCTGTAGAGAATCAGGAAATCCGATCAATGATGCAATCTTTTACTGTTATTTAGCTGCGAGTACGTTGAGACTGTTCACTAGATCTCCTGAAAATTACATTGGTGCTTGGACTAATATCATTGCAAGATTTTCAGGATTTTATGGATTTACTCCACCCGTGCACCCATTGGCTCCGACTCAGCTGGCTCTTTCTGGATTGCATTCTGCTTTTTCTTCGGATAATCGAATGAGAATGACACTATATAAGATCATATATAGTACTGGACCTAGTCCCAAATGTGAGGGATTAAGAAGATTCCTTTATGAGAATTACTTGGCTAATACAGGACTTCATGCTGTTGGGATCTTTGCACAGCTATGTGCTTCCTTGGGTGTAGAAACTGAGTTAATGCTGCAAGTTTGGTCCACTCGGGAGTTTTCTAGACAAATTGGAGCTTTATCTGAATTTGTGAAAATGATGACTAATAGGGAAAATGGGTATAACAGGAAAATGTGGAGATACGGAAGGATTTTTAATGAAAATTTTATGTCTACTTTACAGACAAAATCTTGTCCAAAATTTGTTTACATCCTAGCTAGCATGCTCAAGACTGAAGACCCAGCGAAGTGTAGAAATATATTGGAAATTGTTCAGATCATAAACCTGAGTGATGAAGTTAAGATGAAATGTTCAGCTGTTGGGCAAAACTGGTTAAGCAAGGTAAAAGCTGTTAAGCATGGTAAGGACCTCTGTTGACCAGAACGAAGCTCATGAGCCTCTTGCTGTATGATCCTGGTTCTTTTCTTCTTTGGACTTCGTGTCTTAATAAGGAAAACAAAATGAATTTATTTTACTTTTACCCCTATGAAATTCACAGTTTAATTTTATATTATCATTACTAGTTAGTTAAACTATAATTTGTTAGAGCAATTGGTTTTAAGTTCAAGTAGTTAATTTCCGTAATAATAGATTAGAAGTAGTCCTCTTCATTAGTCTTTATTGGTTGTTGCTGTACAAATACTTTAGAGAAGTACTTTTGATTTGTTTAAGATGACATTTTCTAGTAGAACAATACTAGTTGGGTTCGGAGTTCTTTAAAATATAACATGTTCTAACTATACCTTTATATTTAATTAAGGGAAAAAGTGCAAATAGGCCCATGTACTAACAAAAAAGGTCAAATAAGCCCTTATTTAGGAGGCTCAGTCCAGCCGTCGTCATTTGGGGTGGTTCCCGGTGGAATTTTTTGATGAATTTTTTTTATCATCTTATTCATCAAGTCTAGTTTACTCATACCAAATTTCAGCTAAAACTTCAATCGGGAAGGCATTCAAATGAATTCTTGAAAATAACTTCGTAGTTAGAAGCGCAGTTATACATGAGCCTGTTTGCACCTTTTCCCTTTAATTAAAGAGTTTTAAGAAGAGTTTACGAGAAGACTTCATGAAGGGGCAACACTTATATGAGTATTTTGAGTTCAACTGTTAATAGATAAGTTCAGTACCACATGTACATGTTTGTTCAACCAAATGAAAGAAAGGTTGATGGTTGATTTTTAATAGATGAATTTAGACCATCTGCTATTATGTGAGCTTGATGAATTATTTGAAGAGTTATTTACTTATTTTATTTGTTATATTAAGTCATATTATTATCTGGCACAGTCAAGATTAAGATTACTTGAGTACTTTTATTTTAAGATTTTAATGATGTTTTTAACCAGACTCCACCATAAAAAGAACTACTCCTTATATATTTAAAGTGAAAGATTAGATGATATGTACTCGGAAATAAGTTCTCAGAGAGTTATCATTTATTAGTTTATAGTTTCAAAAAAATTCGATATGTTTAGTGGGTTGCTCTCTTGAGCTGTCGGATTGATGCCATTGGGTACATATCACGGGTCCAGAGTTAAAAATTAGCCACAAAGAGTTTTTATAAAAAAAATTACTGAAATCTCTTTCAAAAAGTTTTACAAATGTCTTTTGAGAATGTATTTTGAGATCTCTTCAGTAGTTTGTGAAATTATTGCAGAAAGTAGTTTCTTTGATGAGAATTAATTGAGAAGTTAATTGTGAGTTATTTGTTAAGTGCAAAGTAATAGATATATCTTGCTTTGACTACTACGTCAATCACCGCAAGTTCGAGAAGAGGAATCTTTGAAGTTTTGTAGGTGTGTTCACCGATTCAACTTAGAACAGAAAAATCATAAGTTTAACCTCGATTTTAAAAGAGTAAAATGACTTTGATGTATTTTAAAAGAGTAAAATGACTATCGTCATCATATCATTTTGGTCCTTGAACTATTAAATATATCATTTTAATCCTTATTCTATTTGATCTATTTTAATCAAGTCCTTCAGTCAATTCTTGCCGTTTAAATTGACGGTAGAGCAGATGTGATTTCCTAATTTTTACACAATGTGGACTATACAAATTTTAGTAATTTTTAGTAGCTAATAATGACGGAGTACATAATTATATCTTTATTTTTATGTGTCCAAATGAAATTTGATTTTTTTACGTTTCTATGTTTCAATTATTACATTTATATTTATTGCATTTTTATGGGTTATTTATACATCGTAACTATTAATTAAATATTTACATAATCTTTAATTATTGCTATTCATAAAGTTATGAAATGCTTCACTAACCAAGACAACATTTTTTCACTTTTTTCACTCTAAACAGTTTTTTATGTGATTTTCCACCATACTCTCTATATATACAAAGATATTTACATAAGAGAAAATCGCACTTTTAATCCCTCAAATAGTCACCATATTGAAATGTCAGACTCGTGTTCCCAAGTTTGTAAATATCACTGCTCAATTGTTCAAATTGCTGTAAATGTGGTCCACATTGACCATTTCACCTATCAAAGGATCACATTTACATCAATTTGAACAATTGAGGGGTGATATTTACAAACTTGGGAACACAGTCTGACATTTCAATATGGTGACTGTTTGAGGGACTAAAAGTGTGATTTTCCCTTTACATAATCATTAATCATTATTCATTATGAAGTTATCAAATGTTCCATAAATTAACAAAATATTTTTTCATTTCTTTGGACTATAGTTTTTTGTTTGGTTTTCCACCACATTCTCCTTGCATATGCAAAAATAAAGATTAGTAAAACTCCCAAACTTTAAGTACTTAACGTGTTATGTACGCGTGGGACGAAAAATTCAGTTTTAGTAGCATAGCAAGAAAATCTTTTGCATAGTGGTAAATGGTAATATTTATACGTAGTATTTAACAAGAAAAATTCCTAAACTAATGGCATTAATATAAAATAATTGATTTAAATGAGATCGATATACTATAATAGCTTAATAAATAAATTTGTAATTAGAGTATCTACTGACGTAATATTCCTAATTATTATATCGTTAAAAAAATGAATAAGTGATTATACACACACGTATATTTAAAGATCCAGAAATTTTTATAAACTATATCTAGTAAGCTATAATTTAATTGAAAATGTGAACAATATTAATTTGTATAAGGAATATGTATGTAAGGATGTTTTTAATTGGACTGTTTTCAGTCCCAGACCAGATCAGATCATTTATAAAATACATAGAGACCAAACGTTTATAAGAAAAGATCAGACCAGAAAATTATAGTCCAAATAAAAACATCCTAAATGATATATTATTAAATTATAATCTTATCCAATGCGTTACATTATGATTTGATAGTAATTTTCATTCTAATTTATTTATATATTAAATCACAAAATTGATAAGTTATATTTTGTCTAATCAGTATGTGGATTTACACATTCATGCACTAATTTAGCACATTCCGTTTGTTTAACGTCAAAATATTAACAGATGGATCGAATTAATATGGATTAAATAGATTAGGGACTAAAATGATATATTTATTAGTTTGAGGACCAAAATGATATGATGATGATAGTTTATGGACTATTTATATTATGCATTTTACTCATTTTAAAAAGATATCTTTCTTAATTATATACTCCGTAGCTTGCTTCAACTACTACATCAATATTCGAAAGTTGGAAACAAGGACTCTTTAATGTTTGCAAAAAAAAAAATCGATAGATTACACTAAGAGACAATTAATAAATGGTAGTTTCTATGGTACCCATAAGGTACCATACCTTTGTCCACATAGACCAATAAAAAGGTAGCGGTTGAATTAATTAAATCTAAATTAAAATTGATAAAGTGATGCGGTCCAATCAAATGAATGCTAGGTACGGTACCTCTATTTTTAGAAAGGTACCGGAGTTGTCACCATAATAAATAACCCACACTTTTTAACTTTCACCAAAAAGTGATTAGGAGTTGTTTCTGGACTCGTAAGGACTCAATCAAATTCGATAGATTATATTAATTCAAAATCAAAGTTTGATGAAACATAGAATTTATATCAAGTGCACCTATGTGCTCATATGCACAAATATTTACTCCCTCCGTAACTTTAAAATCTTCCCATTTCAAAAGTAGGTAAATTAAAAATAGTGAAAGATGATATTAATTATTGAGGGTATGATGGGAAAATAGTGGAATAATATGGTGGAATGTAGGATAAATAAAAAAAAATAGTTGTAATAGTGTATTATTTTAAGAATTTTTAAGTTACGGAGGGAGTAATACATAGTACACAACAGGTAAAGAAACACTAGGAGAATTTAATAAATCATTCATATGATCATCACTCGGTGGATGTTTTAAAAGATAATTTTTGTTTTTGTTTTTGAAATTAATCATTATCTAGAAAATATCATAAACATGCATGTCTGTAAAAGTCAAGAAGTCATAATGATCATATCATCATTCACACAAATAAACCTTGTGTGTAAACAAATCTTTGAGAAAAGTAATTTCAATGAATCCGAACACACACAGAGACAATGAAAGAAATACACACAGAAAGAAAGAGACATAGAAAGCTAAAAAGAATTCATTTATGATCTTCTTCGTGAATAAAGAGGATTACTTGTTTCTATCACATTACGAGCAAAAGAGTTGAAAGAACACAATTGAATACAACAATTAACAGATAAACTAAATGAAGCTAAATAGTGAGCTACCTCATTCCCAATTTTAAAACATGAAGAAAATTTGAAGATGCATGTGAAGTAATTTAAAGATATTCAGAGACTGGTTATTTGATTCTCTAAGATAAGATACTTGCTCCGCGGGACCAGGGCCGGCCCAGGGGGTGTGTAGGGTGTCCGACCGCACAGGGCCCAAAAATATGGAAGGCCCAAAAAAATAAATTAGTAGTAGTATTACTACTACTCTACTACTCAGTATAAGCTAGTCAACCCAATAGCGAACGAAAAGGTGTGGGACAAGCATAGCAATCTGCGAAAGAGGAAGCGCATAGGTCAAAGGGCATAACGAGTGACTGAGCGAGACGAGCGACGTGTCAACGACTCTCTGTCGGCGATTCGGCCTTCGGACGGCAGCGGTATTCACTCCTTCCCATCGGCAATGGACATCCACTCATCTAGGACGGCGGGACTCCACTATTCTAGGTAAATTCGTAACTAATAGAGAGTAATTGTTCTTTATGAATTAATATTGTAATCTGAGTTCAACAAAGTGATATTAATAGGTTCTTAGGTTGTTAAATTTGTTTTTGTTTCACTGTATAACTTTATGTGTAAATAATTTTTTTTCTTGGATTTATTACTGCTAGTTAAAACTAGCAACTTCTATTTTGAAATAATTCTTTAATAAATTACTACTACTCCGTATTAACAATTTACCATTTCAATTGAAATAGCATTTTCTATTAACTATTGAAAAGAAAGGCCTGATTTTTGTTGTTGCACAGGGCCCTCGTTTTCTCGGGACCGGCCCTGCGCGGGACTGGTCTAATTCGAGTCCCCCAATGACTGTGGTGGTGCATGTGAAAGTTCAAATGTTCAACTCATTTTTAAGATGAATTGCATCATCTTCTTATCTTTTAAACAAAATGTTCAGTTCAACTTAGGCGGGTTGATTCTTCACATCCAAAACTAAAAAATGCTAAAACAAGCTAGGTATGATCCCACAAACAATTCTTTACAATTGGGAATTCAGTAATTGTACTAACTTT